AACTCAAGCTTATGAAGATTTTCTTATATGTTTTCTTTTAAAAGTGTCATGGCTTTCTACTTTACATTCATATCGGTGATCCATTTTGAGTTCATCTGAGTTAATTTCAATAGTTTGAGATTCAATGTGTTTTTGCTTATGGGTAACTAATTGTTCTAACACCATTTATTGGAAAAGTTCATTGCTCTTCCATTGAATTTCCTTTGAAATTTTGTCAAAATTCAACTGACCATATTGGCTATATTTGTGTGGTTCTATTTCTGTAATCTGATCTATGTATGTCTCCGTTCACCAAAACCACATGTTGTAATCACATGGTAAGTTTTAAAACTAGAAGCATGAATCCTCCAACTTTATTTTTCTTTTTCAGATTTTTTTTTAGATTTCTAGTTTCTTTTCCTCTCAATAAACATTTTAAAGTCTGTTCATTCATGTATAAAAATAATCCTGCTGGAATCTGTATTGATCTTTAGACCAATTTGGATAGAATTGACCTCTTAACTCTACTGAGTCTTCCAACTCATGAACATGCTACGTTTCTCTATTTATTTAGATATTCTTTGCTTTATTTCATCAGTGTTTTATAATTTTCATCATAGAGATCTGTAAAATTTTGTTACTTATCTGAAATACGCAGGCGTTTTATCTTTTGGAGCATTATTCTTTTCCAAATTTCAAAGTCCAATTGTTTATTGCTGGAATATAGAAGTGCTTTTTTGGTGTGTTAATCAAGGTGTTAACCTTATATCCTGCAACCTTGATAAACTCATTAATTACTTCCAAGAGTGTTTTTTTAAATTTTGTGGAACTCTCTAGGTGAACAAGCAGGTAATCTGTATGTAAGTAAGGAGAGTTTTGTTTCATCCTTTCCTACCTATATGCCTTTTATTTTTCTTGTGCTATTGCACTGGCTAGAATTTCAAATATGATGTTGAACAGGCATACTGAGAATTTACCTTGTTGTTTTGTTGCCAAACATAGGGGGAAATTTAGTCTGTCACCGAATATGATATTAGTTGTAGGGTTGTGTGTATGTATGTATGTGTGTGTTTGTATGAATGTGTAAGCCCTTTATCAGGTTACAGAAGAGCCTTTCTACTACTGGTTTGCTGTCATCAACGGATGTTATCTTTTGTCACTAATTTTTTCAGCACCATTTGGTATGATCATGTATTTTCTTTTTATAGTCTGTTAAAATGCTGCATTACATTGATTTCTGAGTATTAAATCAACCTTGCCTTTCCATTTGGTTGTCGTGTATTTTTCGTTTAACTTATTACTAGATTCCATTTGCTAATAATTTATGGAGAATTTCTGTGTCTATATTCATGAGAAATATTACTCTGCAGTTTTCTTTCTTTATATGGTCTATATGTGATTTTAGTATCAGGGGAGTGTTGGCCTTAGAAAGTAAGTTAGGCATTGCTCCCTTTTCTATTTTCTAGAAAACATCATGTAAACTTGGCGTTGCCTTTAAATTTTTGGTAGAGTTTGTCAATAAAACTATTTGGGTCTGGAGATTTGGGGAGGGAAGTTTTCCAAGTATGAATTCAGTCTCTTTGATGAATATTGGTCTTCATAGGTTGTATATTTCTTTACTGATGAGATTCTTAGTTTGTGTTTGATGACTCCTAGATTTTTTTCTAAGGTTGTTTGTACTATTCCCTTATTATTCCTTTAATGTCTGTCTCTTTAATTACTGATATTCATAATAGGTGCCTTCTCTTTCCCTTTTTCTTTCAACATCAGTCTGGTTAGAGGCTATCAATTTTATTAATCTTTTCAAAGGAGCAGCTTTTAGTTTCATTGGTTTTCTCTGTTGTCTTTCTACTCTCAATTTTATTGCTTTCTTCCCCTTTCTTTATTATTTACTCCTTGTGCTTGATTTGGGTTTATTTTTATCTTCTTGCTAGTTTTTAAAGATGGAAGTTTAGGGGCGCCTGGTGTCTCAGTCAGCTAAGTGTCCAACTTCGACTCAGGTCATGATCTCGTGGTTGGTGAGTTGAGCCCTGTGCCGGGTTCTGTGCTGACATCTGGGAGCCTGGAACCTGATTCAGATTCTGTGTCTTCCTCTCTCCCACTCTGCCCCTACCCTGCTTGTGCACTCTCTCTCTCTCTCTCAGAAATAATAAATGGATAAAATTTTTATAAAATTAAAAAAAAGTTCACATTATTGGTTTGAAACCTTTCTTACTTTTTAAAATTTTCCTAGTACGAGCATTTAAAGCTATGAATTTCCCTCTAATCACTGCTTTAGTTGCATACGATAAGTCTTGACATGTTCTATTTTCATTTTTCTTCAGTTCAAGACATTTTCTGATTTCTCTTGAGATTTCTTTGATTCATAAATATTTATAAATATATGGCTTAATTGTTAACTATTTGTGGAGATTTTCACTTATCATTCTGATATTGATTTCTAATTTAAATTCCATTATTTTCAGAGAACACTCTTTCCTTTATTTCAATTTGTTTACATTTGTTAAGATTTGTTTCATCAACAAGAATACAGTACATATTTGTGAATATTCCATGTGCACCTGAAAAGAATGTGTATTCTGTTGCGAGGCAGACTATTTTATGTGTCAATTAGATCAGTAGTTCTCATGTGGTGGTGAGTTTGCTTCCTAGTGAGGAGTTGGCAAGTGTTTAGAGACATTATTGTTGTTAAAACTATTAGAGAGCTACTTGCATTTAGTGGGGAGACCCTTGTGGCCTTCTGCTGCTAAATATCCTACATTGTACAGAACAGAACTTTCCCCTGTCCTGCCCCACCCCTGCTAACAACAAAGAATTATATGGTCCCAAATGTCAATAGAGCCAAGGTTGAGAAACCCTGTCCCTTGTGATTTTCTTTCTAGTTGGTTTATTGATTATTGAGTGACAAGTATTGATATCTCCACTTCTAATCATAAATCTATTTCTTTTTTCAATTCTACCAGTTTTCAATTCTTTTATATCAAAGCTCTGGTCTTAAGTACATATACATTTAATATTTTTGTACCTTCATGGTGAAGTGTCTCTTTTATCATTATGTAGTATTCCTCTTAATCTCAGGTAAATATTCATGCTCTGGAAATATACTTAGTCCGATATTAATAAAATCATTCCAGTTTTCCTTCAGTGTTCTCATAGTATGTCTTTTTCCATTCTTTGAATTTAAATTACTTTTATTTAAATACAGTGGATTTCTTATAGATACCATATAATTGGGTCTTTTTCTTTTATTATCCATTCTCATAATTATACTTTGAATTTTTTTGTTTAGGTCATTTTCATTTAATGGAAGTATTGATATGTTTTGATTTAGGTCTGCCATTTTAATAGTTGTTTTTGTTTGCTTCATTTCTTCTTTTCTGCTTTATTTTAGATTACTTGACTTTTTTTATAGTTTCATTTTAATGTTTATATTTTGGCTTTTCCTATGTCTGTATATTGTTTTAATGATTGCTCTGGAGATTTAAAATATACATACTTAACTTTCCACAGCCTTAATTCCACTTAATTAATTAATACCACTTAGAATTAATATTTTAATTTTGTGGGGAAATTGTGCTAAAGCAGACACCTGTCTCCTGACAGCATGTTTTTGTTCAGGGTGGTAGCTTGGTCCAAAATGGAAAATCAGAAAGCCTCTAGAACAAGGAAGGACAGTTTGAATTCTCTTCCTAGCTGAAGACCTTCCTTGCTCCTGAGCCTCAGTCTTCCTCTCTTTACAATGAAGATAATCCAATGGATCTTACTGGATTGTTGAAGATTAAAAGGAATACGTGTAAAGTTCCTGATAATAATATTCAATAGTTAACATTAATCAAACTTTTACTATGTGCCAGGCACTGTTGTAAGCACTTTATGCTTAGATAATTTACACTCCCCAAGAGCCCTATGGGCGGCTGTTTTCATAATGAGAAAATTGTGGCACTAAAAATTTAAGAAAATTCTTCACTGTAGAGGTAGACTTCTAAGCCATGAATTCTGAGGCCAGAATCTACCCATGATTCTGTACATTCTACTTTTCTACGTGGTGGCAGTCATAACTACTATCATACCTATCAGTGCAGAGGAGTCTGCAGCTGAGTTTCAGTGTGAGGTATGTGAAGGGAGGAAGTGTAGAGGGTAGGAAGTAGAAAAAGACAGCATTCTTTTACATTCTGCCAGGCTCAACCCTGGCTCCTCCACACTCATTGGCACAGTGTAGGCACACAGTCTCACGTGTGGGCTAAGCAAAAGACATCCCTGTGCCATTTCTGTTCAACTGCAGTGATAGTAGCTAAGGTGTAACTAGTGCCTCTGGGTCAGAAGGTGAGGATAAATGTAATACATTAAGTCATTCTTAACTCCCACCTTATTCCCTCATATCCAGGCTATGCTGCTGCTGCTTCTTTTTTTTTAATGTTTATTTATTCTTGAGAGAGGAAGAGAAAAAGAGACAGAGAGAGAGAAAGAGAGAGAAAGAGAGAGAAAGTGGGGGAAGGGCAGAGACAGAGGGAGACACAGAATCTGAAGCAGGCTCCAGGCTCTGAGCTGACAGCACAGAGCCCGACACTGGGATTGAACTCACAAGCTGTGAAATCATGACCTGAGAGGAAGTTGGATGCTTAACTGACTGAGCCACTCAGGCACACCTATGCTGCTTCTGAGAACTCATGAGGGATACATGAGGCAACTGAAGGAAACTAGATTTTTGTGAGGGTCTGGGAAGTGGCAGATAGCTAAGAACACACACATGTACCCCTTCGCAGGAGGAGTCCAGGACAGAATGGAGGGATTCTTATATCAAAGAATGGCACAGCCAGAGGGGTGTTGAGCATCCTTCAGGCCAACCTTCCACCACTGATGAGGTTGAATTTGCTGAAGATCTTTGGCTAGGTTACTTTGGCTGATCCCCTAATTTCTGTCGTTCTCTCCTTTAACCATTCGTGAGAGAAGCATTATAGTTAGGGGGGAGTCTAGTGCCCTCATGTCATCTCCTAACTATACATATTTTTTCTTCTTGTCAGAGTATATCTTCTAGCAGTTTCTTGTGACTTGTCCCTCAAACCAATCACCACTGAATCAGAACAACACGCTCCAAACATACATCCTTACTGAAAGAACATGGCCAAGGGTGGGAAAGGCCCCAAGGGCAAGAAGATTACCTTAAATGTGGCCAAGAACTGTATCAAAATCACCTTTGATGGGAAAAAACGCCTTGACTTGAGCAAGATGGGAATTACTACCTTCCCCAAGTGTATCCTGAGACTGAATGATGTGGATGAGCTCGACCTTAGCCGGAACATGATCAGAAAGATCCCTGACTCAATCTCCAAGTTCCAGAACCTGCGGTGGCTGGACCTACACAGCAACTACATCGACAAGCTCCCTGAGTCCATTGGCCAGATGACTTCTCTGCTGTACCTCAATGTCAGCAACAACAAGCTGACCACCAACGGGCTGCCTGTGGAAATCAATCAGCTCAAGAATATCCGCACTGTGAACTTGGGCTTGAACCATCTGGACAGTGTGCCCACCACGTTGGGTGCTCTGAAGGAGCTCCATGAGGTGGGGCTACATGACAACCTGCTGAACACCATCCCCAACAGCATCAGCAAACTCCCCAAGCTCAAAAAGCTCAACACAAAGCGAAATCCCTTTCCCAAGGTAGAGGAGTCAAGTACATTCATAGATTCCATCAAAAGGCTGGAAAACTTGTATCTGGTGGAGGAGAAGGAGCTGTGTACAACTTGTCTGAGAAAATGCCAACAGGCCCGGGAAAAAGTGAACAAAATCAAGAATATCGCTGCAGCAACGCCGAGAAAGGCCATCTTTTCTAATCTGGCCTCACCCAACTCCATGGCCAAGGATTCCCAGGAAGATTGGAGGTGACCTGGGACCCTGACCCTGAGGCAGGAAGGGAAAAGGGAGTGGGGGAAGATGGCGGGAGGCTGCATCTACAGGGAATTGTGGGCTCCCCCCATTACTGCAACAGCTCCTCCAGCCAAGCCCATAAAATACCTTTCCTTACCTCCTTGGCTTGTGATTTTGTTGACTCGAGGGCTTTAGTTCTTTGCCATTCCACATGTTTCTCTCTTCTTTGCATGCACACACCCACACGTACAGGCACAATGAGTCAGAAAAGGGCCATCCATCCCACTTCTTCCCAGAAGTCTCCTGCCGACAGCCCGTGGCCAGGGTAGCCAATATTGCCAGCATACTCTTAGTCACATTGTCATCCACTTCAGGACCAAATGCAGCTCCCACATGTGGAGTTCATTCTATGGGAATGCTTTGGTTCAGGGTTTTGGAAGTCAGGAATCTCAGAGCATGGATTGGTAGGAGGGCAGATGGAGATTTAGTCTTGGGAAGGTCACAAATCTGGGCCACAGGAGATGAGTAGATAGTATCACTAAGTGTTTGCAGGTAATATCTTGGGGTGAAAGCAGCACTATCTTTTTCTCTTGTCTGCATGTGCACAATTTGCTCTAGGAGCTTTCTAGACTGAATCTGCAAGCTTTTGACTGGCTGTGAATGAATGAGAGTACATCTTCATCTTATTATGTCCAATTCCTTTCTGGACTCTTGTGGGGGAGCAAGGGAAGAATGGTTGGAGGTATGGGTTTGTGCAGTCAATAAATAAATACCTTACTAGGCACTGTGCTAGGTGTAGGGACTGTGTCCTGGAGGAAAGCCTGCCCTTTCATGTGCAGACCAGTTGAAAGAAGGCAGGACAGAATGTCATTGTCTAAGAAACTTAGGATATCAGGGCCAAGATGTGTGCAGGCATTGAGAAAAGCCAAAGATTCTGGAGATGGACAGATCTAGGGCCAGGGAAGTTCTAGTTCTAGTTCTTCCTTGCCATTTTCCTGGACATCTTACTTTGCTTTGCTTCCATCATCTATAAAGTGGGGAAAATATGGCACCCAACTATAATGGTTGTTGCAGTAGCTGAGAACATTCCTTGTACTATTTACTCACACTCATCCATACCCCATACTAAAAGGAAAGGATCAAAGAAGATATAGTTAGGAAAGCCTTTTTTTTTTCTTTCCTAATCAAGACTTTCCTATGTAGGTGGCACGTTTTTTAGTGGTCAATGGAAAGGTACAGAGATCTGTTCATTTAGTGGGACTAGCGTATTTCTTTTTCACATTATAAACCATAGCAGATAGCACACTTCATTTCTTCACTCCTTACTGCAATTTTCCTTTGTAATGCTTAACTGTGATGACAGTTCCTAAAACCTCTGAAGATATGATTCAAAATTCCCTGTTCAGATTTTCCTTTTATTAAATGTTTTCCATTATAAAAATCACAAAACCAAAGCATAGCTTTAAATATAACATCTTAAAGCATCCACAATTCTACAATGCATGCCAGCTATAATATTGACAGATTTCCTTATTAATTATTTTTCTATGTATATTTGCTATTCAGTGAAAATTATAGCATCTATGTCATTTTCATCCTGCTTTAAAACCTATGTTGTTACATGGTCTTAGAAACCACAATTTAAAACATCTGCAGGCTAGCCAAACACACGCATAAGTTACTGTGGGGCATTCAAGCTGTTTCTAGTTTTTCACTAATAGAAATAATTTTGTGATGGAAGCCTATATGATGAAGACTTTAAAAACTATTTTGCATTATTTTCTTGGTATAGCCTCATTATCACAAACATGCTGAAGTGTGTTTTTAAAAAATAGTTTTTAATACATGCTATCAAATAGCTTATAACAAGATTACACATTTATGATTCTACCAGTAATATATTAGAGAATCCGTTTCACTGCATCCTGGTCAGCTTCGAGTACCATCCTTTACATGTTCTCCTTTGCTTAATGTCTGAAATGATTTGCTAGAAGTCCTTCCCAAGGTGGTGGAGCAGTCGTGTCTGTGACATGCATGATAAGATGTCATGCCAGGCTCAGAAGCCACCACTGGTATGTTGTCCTTGAACATGTCCCTAAGGTAGCCATTCTGCTATTTTAGCTACTTCCTCTTTCACCCAGGAAGTACAGAATCTAAGCAAGGGCATGTGATCCAAACAGAGCGATGGCTAGTTATTTGGATATTACCCATGTCCATTCCTAACCCCTGGAGATCTTTTTTTTAGAATTAGTGTTACCCTCTTAGTCACTCAAAGGGATTGGCAGAGAACAGGAAGTAAGAATAAAAGGTCTCCCTGGGCCTCTAGGCGGGATCCTGGTCTGGGCCATGGATTTGCCCCCTACTTCTCCTGCTCTGTCACAGCATACTTCCTCCACTGTCTTTGGCCCTCAGCATCCTCCAGCCACTGATCCTGGATTCGCGGCCAACTGAGTGGTTGCTGACACCATCCTTGTCTTATTTGTCATCCTTGGTCTAAGTGCTTTATTCTGCTTTCTTTCTCACAGCCAGGTTGTAGGAAAGGGTTGTAAGCATGGTTGACTTCACCAGGACTGATAAATAAATGGGCAGGGGGCTTTGATTTGCCACAGGATACATTCATGTTTGACACCTGGTTAGCCAGGAAAAGCGGCATTAGGATGGAGCAACGATTGGTGACAGAAATGAGTTAGGTGTCCTCTTCCACATTTTATCCCTTTTTTTTCCCCATCAAGGGAAAGGCTTGATGACTGACATTCCTTCATGCTGTAAAATTCACAGTCACTTTTCCTTCCTGGAATTTATATTAAGCCTAAAAACACTTGATATGAAAAGCATGGGGTTTCCCTTTCCTCAAACAGAACAAAAACCTTATTTAGGCTAACCCAGTCACTGCTCTTTCTAAAAGCCAGGCATGACCTCGGTGACCCCTGTATGACCTTTTCCTTTGCTGTGTTTTGCCTCCATGACCTGGAGTAATTGCCTCAGTCTCTTATCTCCATCCCCAGGATCCGTTCAACATCTCCCTAGAATAGCTTTATGGCAAAAACTTGAAGACTAATCAGCCAACAAGAATAAATGACTCTGAAGAAGAAAAGCCCTCGGTTAGGAGAAGAAAAGAGTGGTAAGGGGAACATTCTGGAAGCCAGGTTGTCTGGTGCTGGCCAAGAGACTGACTCGCTTCTTAAATTCACTTTGCCTCACTTTGCTTTAGACCATCTGTGTGTGAAAATGACTTTGGAAGTACTTGGTGTATTTTTTATGCATATAGAGGAAATGTTTAAAAAGTGATATATATAAATTATAGAAAATTAAAGTTTTAAAAGTCGGCTTTAAGAATTAAAAGACTTATGGCCTCTACACTTCCCTTGAACTAGTAAAATCTCTATGCCAGTCGCCTGTGGTAAGTTATGTACTTATGATGCAATACATCTGAAACTAAAATCTACACAAAAGATTCATACAAAGAAATATACTTAAAAATATGGTAGATAAATCAAAGTAGATTTTAGTAAGTCAGTAATGCACAGGTAGATGAAAGAAAGAACGAAAGAAAGAAAGAAAGAAAGAAAGAAAGAAAGAAAGAAAGAAAGAGAAAAAGAAAAAGGAAGGAAGGAAGGAAGGAAGGAAGGAAGGAAGGAAGGAAGGAAGGAAGGAAGGAAGGAAGAAGAAGAGAAAGAAAGGAAAGAAATTAGAAATGAACAACAGGGAAAAAATAAACAAGAAAACAAAAAACAAAATGGGAGATTTATATCCTCACATTTCAATAATTACATTCAATGCAAATAGTCTTCTTTATTTGCCATGGCCCCACTCTAGAAACAACCAAATTTCTCGTTAGGCAAATGGTTAAACAAGCCCTGGTATATCCATATCATGGCTACTACTTGGCGATAAAATGGAACATATTATTGATACATGCAACAATGTGGATGGATCTCAATAGCATTATTCTGAGTGAACCAGGCCAATCTCTGTGGGTCCCATATTTGATGATTCCATTTTTAGATCATTCTCTAAAGAACAAAATGATTGAGGTGACAGATCAGTAGTTGCCAGGCTATAACGCTGTTGAGGGGTGGTAGAGGGTGGGTAAGATCATAAAATGGTAGCTCAAGAGATAGATCTGTGGTGATGAAAACAATTGATTATGATGATAGTGGTGGCAGTTATACAAACCTACACATATGATAAAATGACACAGAACTATGCACACATATGGTACCAATGTCAATTTCCTGGTATCGGAATTGTACTAGAGTTGCATAAGATGTAACAACCATCAGGGGAAATTAAGAGAGAGCTGTATAGGGACTCTACGTACTATTTTTGCAACTTCCTGTGAATCTATAGTTATTTAAAAATTAAAAAAATTTTAAACAATCCTGAAGCCTAGATGCAGCAATAAACAGATCCGTGTACATCTGCCAAGTGCTAATTTATGAGTAACTCTGACAAGCTTAATGTTTTACAACCATCCGAAGAGCTAAGGCATTTCAAGAGAAAGAGCACCTTAACCTCAGTTCACCAGATAATCTAAAATTATCCACTGTTGTGATTTTATCCTTGAAGATGCTACAAATAATTTTTAAAAAATGTGTGCCTTCTCTGCCTGTGTTCTGGGTTTTCTGGTGTTGGCTGGGCACAAGTAGCAAGTTGGGTGGGGGACCTTGAACCAGCAAGTGTCTCCCTTCCCAGTTCTGGGTTTTATCACCTCCCCTCCCCCAACCCTCTTTGATCCAGTGGAAACAACACGACTAAGTGGAGCTGGAAGGACAAAGGGGCCAAGCTTGGTGTAGGCAGAGAGGCTTAATTTAAGCTTCTACCTAGAAGTGGGTCTGAGGTCATGGCCAAGGGTATAGCAAATAGGAGATGTGAGCAAGAGAGATAAGAGTGACATGAACGGGGCTTAAAACCAAGGTCTGTGCATGACCGAGGTATTGTTCACTGGAGGTCACCAGACCCAACTGCTCGTGGCCTGTTGAGCCAACCATGTGAAAAGTTCCTAAATGTGAAAACATTGGTTGTTTAATTCACCTCTGGTTCCAGCAACTCTGCTCTAGACCCCAGGGTCTGTGTAGTCTCTGCGATTGCCCTCCCAAGGCTATGCGGTCCCAAGAAGAACAGGGACACGTTCCTATACTCAGCCATGGGGCCGAAGCTATCTTTATCAAAGCAGTCATGTACATGACAGACTCCTAGCCTCCCTGCTGGTCAACAGTGTTTCTCTCTGGAGAGTAAGACTGAAGGAGCAGTCATGGGGAGGAGAGGTACTTGAATGTTACCCTCCATACTGCTAGCAGTGGTGTCTTGGAGGGTATGATTGATTATCGTGGAAGATCATCATCTTGTGGGAATTGATAGCCTCTTATGGTTGGTTTTCTGAGCTCTTGTCTTTCATTATTTTTCAAAGAGAATCTATAAAGGAAACTCTGACAACACCCAACTGTAGGACTTAGTGCCAGAAAATGCATTTCCTTATAAACATTATATTTAAGTAAGCTAGACAACTGAGAGAACACTTCAGAAATTACAAATATCCAGATACCATCAGGTCTCAAATATAAGCTCTGCCACACACGTAACAGCCTACTCCGGCCCAGGACACCTTGCCTTGAAGACACAGCAAGGAGGCATTTCAGATGCTGTCAGGGACCATGGCTACGGAAGGACGCCTCTAGCCCATTTAAAGGTATGTGCTGTGTACAATAGAGACTTAAGGGAAGAACCAGATAGCCATTCGAGCTTTGTATTTCACTGAGTTTTTTAAATTCTGGGCTCAATCCAGATTATGTCCGCCACCCAGGGAAATGTCTATACAGAAATAAGTCCAAATGTTAGGGCCCTACTTTTTCAGAGTATCAATATAGAAGATTCTATTCTGCAGGGCTCTTTTTTCATATCTTATGGAAAGGGAATTGCCTTCTTTGGTACCCACTACCCTTTAGATAAGGACAGATTTAACATTCAATGCCAAGAGAAAGTATTTTCCAGAATAAAAATGTTCATGAACCCCCTGTTTTGTTTTTTGTTGTTGTTGTTGTTGTTTTGTCACTGTAAAATAATGTAACCCAGGACATTTGTATTATTTTTCTTAGTGTCAGGATAATTAGGTAACTAGATCACTTTATTTATTTATTTATTTTTTAAATGTTTTATTTATTTCTAGGAGAGAGAGAGAGACAGCGTGAGCAGGGGAGGGTCAGAGAGAGAGGGAGTCACAGACTGAAACAGGCTCCAGGCTCTGAGCTGGCAGTCAGCACAGAGCCCGACGCGGGGCTCGAACCCACGAACCGCGAGATCATGACCCAAGCGAAAGTCAGACGCTTAACCGACTAAGCCACCCAGGCGCCCCGATCACTTTATTTATTTACCCGATTTAGTTATTAGTTAACCTGATCACATGTATATTTGTCTCCTTTAAAGGAATTTTGGGTTCTTTTTTTAAGAGGGGGTGGGAAGGGGCAGAGAGGTTTGGGGGAGAGAATCTCAGGCAGGCTCCACATTCAATACAGAGGCCGACATGGGGCTCAATCCCATGATCCTGCATCATGACCTGAGCCGAAATCAAGAGTCAGACGCTCAACCCACTGAGCCTCCCTAGCGCCCCTTTGGGGTCATTTCTGAATGATCATTTTATTGGTACTGCCTTTAATTTTGAAGCTGTCTGCAGCCTTTTGTGGAGGGTACAGAGAACTCTGAGCGTGAGGATGTATGTGTACTCACATCCATTCTCAAGCAGCTGCCCTTTCCTTGTCACTTCAGCTATTGTTTTGATTTTTCCAACTAGCCCTCCTCACATCTCAGCAGGGCCTGCCTGCATCTTCCATTGTGGAGCTTTCTGGCTGTCAGAAACTTGGCTGGTGAAGTGTCTAGTTGACTTTACAGAAGAAACCCCTGGAAGCTTGCAGAGTCTTGCACTCCATGAATATCCACATCTGATAATGTCACCAGAATGCTCTACTCTTATACCACGGGGAGACACAGATGGATTACAGATCCTGGGTTTATCCAGGCTTTACAAGTATTTTCCACTTAGGATCCAGGCCCACAGAACTGCCTTAGAATTCGTTATGGAGGCAGCCATTGTCATTGGAATTCAGACAAAACTCTGGTACCTGAAAGCTCTGGTTTCCTATACATACAGAATGGCTTGGAGAGGGGCCAAATCAGCTTTTGAAAGCTGGGAGTTGAAGACACAAACACCTATAGCACAGGCCAAGACTCTTGAGTTAGTTGAAAATTCTCAGAAGGGACTGCGCATTCTGTCAGAGATGAGAAGCTCATGTTCACCAGAATGTCCAAAAGGCAAATGGGTATTCTTCAAAACTTACTGCATGTAACCCAAATGGAAAATCATCAGGTTTGCTCTCGGCATAGGGAAAATGGCCGGCCAAGCCCTCCTAAGGCTGGGAGCCACTGTTGCCTTCCCTCTCTGAAACTCCCGATTGTATGGTGGGGCTGGTGGGAGAGGGACTGGAAAGGAGAGATGCACAAGATCTGAGAGCAGAGACAGCCACCTTTTTAAAATCGGCTCCATAAACATGTCTGAAATATACAGCAGGTGATCTAAAACTAAGCAAAGGAATACAGTATTTATTGAGCACCTACTATAAGCCCACATTGGTTCAATCTCAAAGCTGGCTATCGCAGCACAGCCCCACCAGGTCCTTGGGGGCTTGGGTGGTCCTAGAGCCTAGGACCAGTGCTCCCACTGGGGCTTCCTCATTTTGTCGAAGTTCCCTTTCCATGAGCTTATGTAAGCATTTCTCTGGCACACTACGCATTGTTCCCAATGGACTCCAGAACTTTCCTGTTTTATATTTTCCAAGAGTCTCCATGCTCGGCACCGTGCTAGGGTTGTACCAGGCAGGTGCAGAATGGCCCCAGAAGATCTTGCTCCAATGGGCTCAGATAGCCATCATGGAGAAAAGAAAAAAAAAAAAGGAAATAAAATGAGCACAGTGCCAGTTGTCCCACATGTGCAAGATGGTACACAGGTTCACGTCTAGGGTCATCCCTATGAATGAGGGATGAGTACTTTCCTCACCTTTTACTCATCTCTAGGCCAAGGATTCTCCTGACACTTGGTAGTCACTTTTGTACCGTCCTCCAACTTAGTGGCCATAAATCCCCGTTTGTATGTATGTGGCCACAGCTCCATAGTTTAGTTCCTCGAATGTATTCTTCCCTCTGTTCTTTGTCTGCCTTCCCAGTCCTGGGGCAGAAATTCAGAAGCTTAACTTGTGTGGACCTAGGGATGCATTGCTGGCACAAGGCATCTCAAAGACTTGGAGAGCAACATTATAGAAATGGACAGAGCGAGGCTCACGGCTGGGGAGACAGCTGCCTGCCCACAGAGTGATATCACAGCCATACTTTATAAGAGGGTGATCTGCAGAGACAAATGGGATTCAGCAAAGTGGCATGTCAAAGTCGATGCAAAGAGAGAGAAGTTCCAGGGAGAGGGAGAATAAGTATATGGCATATAAGTGCTGTAGTCGTTGGGGAGCTCTCCACCTGAGCAGTAGACGGCCATCTGCTTTTGCTCACCCCTCAGTACTCACCCTTCTTGTGATAACAGAACCTTGATTCTCTTGGGGAACCACCACCTGTCAGTCTGGTCTCTGTTGTTGGGGGAGCCTGATCCCACTCCCAGGAGGTGGGTGGGCACATGACACTGATCCAGCCTATGAAAGCACTTGATTAGTTCTGGGACGGGCACTAACCTAACTCTGGCAAATGAAAATCATTTTTGAGACTTTTGCTAAAGTTACTGGGACGGAGCATTCCCCATGTGGTGAAATTCCTAAGATGACTAAGTCATCCTGGAGCTACTGGGGACGCTGATGCCATTATGCTTGGACAGCCTGCCAAGAACTGAGTCAACTCAAGGGAAATCCTCCCTATGAAATATACAGCTACAGTGTGTGGGGTTTATTGAGTCCAGAGATCCAGCCGTGTCTGGAGCCAGACCTTTGTTGGTCTCCAGGTATATGAGGTGATGGATCTGTTTTTCTGCTTCAGTTAGTCTGAAGTGGCTTTACATACTTGCCCTGAAATGTTGCAGAGAAATCCAAGGGTGGACATTAAGGTTTAAATAAAACATGAATAATATGAGGTCACCAGGGCTGATATTCAGCTAATATGCGCAATTAAGACTGTACCATTGTTGAACTATAGAGGCATGTCCATTCCAGTTTGTAAACAGTTACCCTCCTCCACCTGCCCAGTACCGCCCCAGCCTCCTGGACCATGCCCTGGCAGGCCCTGCACCTCCCAGCTAAATTTACCAACCAAACGGGTTGTGTGCCTAGCACAACAGGAGGCTTCTACTAGCAGCTACTCCAGTTGCTCTTTTGAAGGTCGTCAGTGACCCCTGCGTTGCAAAATTCAATGGTTATTGTTTAGTTCCTCTCTTGCTTGGCTTGCCAATAACATTTTATCACCAACAGAGTGGGCCACGCCCTCCTTGAACACTCTATTTGGCTTAAAGGACGTCTTCCACTCCTGTAGCTCCTCCTACCTTCCTGGCCACAGCTTGAATTTCTTTTGTTGGCCCCTCTCCATGTCCTTCGCTTCTAAAGCTTGGAAAACCCCAAGGCACAGTCCTTAGACCTCTTTCCCGTGTGCATTCATTCTCTTGGTGATTGTAGCCAGGCTCATGGCTTAAATACTATTCCAAATTTACATTTCACCTGGACCTTTCCCTTAAAGCCTAAGTTTATATACCTGCTTGCCTACATGATACCCCCACCTTGGTGTCTGACAGGCATCTCAGAAATAGCATGTCCAAGACTTAGCTCCTGATAAGCAACACACCCCATATGGTTCTTCATGCACACATCCCATTTCATTTCCCACTTGCTCGAGCCTAAAGCCTTGGTCTCTTAAGTCCTCTCTCTCTCTCATACATACACACAAACCTCACGCTTGCTTTAGTCAAGAAATCCCAGCAGACATACTTTCAAAACATGTCCACAAACAGAGCCATTCAAACCATCTTCGTACCACCTCACGCCCGATCCAAGCCATCCTCATCTCTTATCCGCATGACTGTACAAGGCTTCTAACTGGATGCCCAGCTTCTGCCTTTGACCAACTATGCTTGTTCTTGACACAGAAGCCGGAGTGATTCTTTTAAAATATAAGTTAGGTCTCATCATTCCTCCGATACCGCCCACTTATTCAGAGTGAAAGCCAATGCCATTAGCAGGAGCTCTCAAGGCCTGCATGAAGCAGCCCCTGCTACCTCTCTCCCCTCTCTTCCCTGCACCCCGAGCACCCTGGCCCCAGCTGAGCCCACTGTGCCCTCCTTGGCGCCTTTGCTCTGCTCTTCCCTCTGCCTGAAATGCCCCTTCCCCAGTTACCAGTACAACTCCTTTCCCCACTTTGTTCACATCTGAATTCAAACATTGCCTTCTTGGTGAGGGCTTCCCTGACCACCCCGTCTAAGATTTCAACCCCTACCTCTACCACTTTTTTTAATATTTATACTTATTATTTAATATGTTTTATATTTCACTCATTTAAGTTGTTTTCTTCTTCTTTTTTTTTTTAATTTTTTTTTTAATGTTTTATTTATTTTTAGGAGAGAGAGAGAGACAGCGTGAGCAGGGGAGGATCAGAGAGAGAGGGAGTCACAGACTGAAACAGGCTCCAGGCTCTGAGCTGGCAGTCAGCACAGAGCCCGACGCGGGGCTCGAACCCACGAACCGCGAGATCATGACCTAAGCGAAAGTCGGACGCTTAACCGACTAAGCCACCCAGNGAACCGCGAGATCATGACCTAAGCGAAAGTCGGACGCTTAACCGACTAAGCCACCCAGGCGCCCCTAAGTTGTTTTCTTCTGTCTTCCTCAAGAAAATGTAAACTCATAAGGACAAAGTTTTGAGTACTTTGCTCTGTCAGGCAGCAACCGTCACATGTAACAAGCTAACGACAAATCATTGTGAATGACTTGGTGGTGCCCATTCCATGGTCGTTATCAATATTTTGGTTTTTCGGTGTTTTGTTTTTCATTATAAATATTTTGGATGCCACTCCTGGGGACACCCCTCTCCACCCTGTCCTGTCATACTCCTGGAGAAAACCAGCAGCCACCTTCTTCCAGTTTCATCCCTAATTGAAATAAAAGCACTCACCAGTCCCAAAGTAGCCTTCCAGAGAAGGGGTACTTATAAATGGAGGCCATGGGAGGAGGCTGCCAGCCTTCCATTCCCTGGTGAAGACGCTCCATATCACAGATTCATAAATTAATATCTGCCTCACATTCCAGCGTCTACTAATTTAGCTTCTAAGCTTTCGGAGCATCTCACACTGGAAAGACAGAGCTGAGATTGCTCACACACCCCACGTGGGGCCCCGACACCACGCCAGGCAACCTGCCCCGCCCACCATGAGCAGAGGGCTGCTTCTTGCATTTTGGTGTGAAAATGCCACAAAGCACATGGAATTCCAAGTCTGTTTGTAGAGATTTCATCGGCAGAAGGAACTCCGGGAGTAGGATGAGAGGATGGGGATGGGAGGGAGAAAAAGTGAGGGAATGCTGATTGAGGCATCTTTGCATGCTGCTTTACAGTAGGATCAGACAAATGGAGACAGTCCAAGCAGGGCCAGCACCATGCCCAGAGAGCACGGCTGGGCTCCTGCCTGCGCCATTACCTTAGATTGAGGGGCTCCTCTGTGACGCCTTTCCCCTTCAAGCTGGGTTGGAAAGAGCAGAAGCTAAACAAAAAAGGAAAGGATTATTAGAGTCACAGAGGTGACTCTGTCACCACCAGAGAGACCGTTTTGGTGCCAGTCAAGAGGTAGGGCACATACTTGCCCCTCCCGCACCCCAGCCTGTCCCCAGGGCACGAACACCAGACCCGGGTGCACCTCTGAGGCAGGCCCTCAGCATCCCCTGGCTCGATACACTCTAAGCTCAATAAAAATGGCAATAAAACAATAGTTACAATATGTGATTTGGATACCTCCTCTGGGTCAGGCACTTGACAATCAATCCCACTGCAAATTTCTGCAGCCACTGAAAATGACATCCAGTTTAAGGCCCCTTGAGACAAAGTTGTGGAAGGGAGGGCCAACATTCACTGCCTGAGCGAGGGATACATAAAACTTCTAGATTAACTGTGCAAAACTATGCTTAACATGCGGAGATCACAGGGGGAAATGGACATGAGGGTCAGCATGACACTACTGACTTCTTCGGCTGGGTCTAAAATGGAACTCGTAGAAAACTTTAGGAGGCAATTTAACAGCGCTCCTTGGAGGTGCCTCAGAGGAAGGCTCACGGTGAATGGAGATGTGCCCAGAGCTGGTGCAAACAGCCTCTCTGCAGTTGTTTTCTCTGGTCTGGCCCTGCCCTTTGGACCCAGCGGCTGGCTGTAGTGCCAGTGCCTGGCCAGGGCCAACAGGAAGGCAAGATTAGAAACTCTGAGCACAAAACGGGGCTTCCCAGGCTCAGGATGTCAAATGTCACCTTAGGACTCCCAACCCAAAGGGGAGCTGAACATACCCTCCTCTCCCCTTTCTGTTAATCCACCTTCTTTGTTGTCTGCCTGTAGCTAGGAACCTGCTTTTCTTTCTAGCCCTTCTAGATTCTCCACAGATCTATTTATCTGTGACTTTAATAATAATGAAAAAAATAACCGTTAGTATTAAAAAAAATAAAACACCAGCTTAAATTTCTTGGATTGCTTCATTAATCTATTTGGAGAAAGAAGTTACACTAAAACAGCAGGCTTCTCTCTTTAAGAAACAAAGATGTCTCACAAAGAAGTGGGAAATCAGTTGTTTGGAATTCTTTCCAGTGAAATATGAAATTGGAACACTAAAATTGGCAACTGGGATCAAAAAGAAAAGATTAAGCCAAAAAAATTATTTGGAAAATTAAAAAAACAAGCCAGAAAATTCTGGAAGGCCCATTAAACAGCCAGCTTCTTAAATGTGTTGTGTCTGCACAAGTTTTTCCCCCTTTAGTCCTTATTGTCCTAAACCACTTCAGTCCATGAAATGGAGCCTGTTTCTCCAGATTTAGGGAAGGCATTTCTGCATCTTTTTCTGTACTTCATTCCATGATTCACTAGCTCCATATGTCAGCAAGTTCTTCCCATGTCTGATCTAAATCCTGTTTGCTGTGGGTTGAGAACAGTTCTGCGAACAGAGCTGGGCAGTCTTTGGCCTGTTCTCAGTTCGTGATCAGTTTTCCCAAAGGAAGATTTTCAAACCCTTACCTTTTGAAGACCTTACTCCGATCGCTGTTGTGAAAGACAAGAAACTTGGAATATCCATTTTGGAAAAAGAGCTCCAGGGCGATGTCCTATAAAGAGAAACCCCTTTCACTGCTGCTGAAGTTGCCTGAAATGGAGAAACCGCAAGCCACAGAGCCACTAGCAATGGGCCATTTGGTCCTCTGTGTCAGACAGCCCTTCTTATTTGTTTCTTCCATCCTCCCAAGGAGTTATAAAGACCTTAGTGACAGTGATGAGGGGAGTCCCTGCAAAATCGGTAGGAGGGCAGGAGGCCTCAGACTTTCTTTCACTGAAGCAGGAAGCAAGAGCCCCACTCTTGGATAAGCCAGGAACAGACAGAAGAAGGAAAGGGCCTGGTGGCACCTTCAGACTCCTTCACTTCTGGGTCATGAGTTTGGTTTCCTGAACCAGCGAGTCACCTCATGAGAAATATTAGGGGATGGGTAGACGGGGGGTTGGGTAGGTGCAACTCACAATCTGGGCAGCACTGTATGCTGACCTACAGACCAGCAGGCACAGGGTGCTTCGCCAAACTGGTTATGCAGAGCCATTTAGATGTGGCCATGCCAACATAGCAAGGGTATTTTGTTAATGCCTAAGTGAACTCTACATAATTTCCTGTCTTTTTCCTTTCCCTCCTCCCTCCCTGTCTCCCTTCCTTCTCAGCCAAGCTGTGTAAATAACAGACTGGGAATGGCCATAGAGTCTCCATGTAGGATGAGGCTCAGGGATGAGACGCAGCCAGGGAGTGAATCCCGAGGGCTGGAGGGAGGGAGAGGCCTGGGCATGGAGGGACCGAAGAGATGCTATATGTGACAACTGAGTCAAGTCCCACTTCTACCTGGCTGGTAGTGATCTCAATGTCTAGTTCTGGGCTCCGGGGCACAGGGAAAGTATTTGTGGCGATAGTGCAAACCCTTCTGGATGGGGTAGGGGTGCACATAGGAGCCCTGCATATTTTTCTACAAATAGAAATGTAAATACTGTGCAAAAACAGATGATCGGTGCAGATGTAATGGCTTCTCCTGGCAACCTTGAGCAACCAAGAACGGACTTTCTCCTAGGGGAACCCAAGAGGGATGAGGGCCCTGCTCACAGAGCTTTCCCTGCTCCCGACTCTCACACTGCTTGGCCATGCTCACAAGCTCTCCCGCTTCCCCCTTTTCACTTTCAGGCTAACCAAACATCTGGAAACAATCACCGCTGACTTGCTGATACCTATGTGCTACTATATATAATCTCTAAGTTAGACATAATCATAAAACAATAATTTTGAGAATTTAGGTGTGCCAAAAAGTGTGCCAAGCGCTATATATGTAATGGTGGAAGAGACAAGGCATGGTCGCCTGTGCTCAAACATGCTACAGTGGCAGGGCAGTGGCCAGGCTAGGCTCATGCCAGCCCCACTGCCCAGAACCCTCAGGGATGGCCTTCTTCCAGGGCTCCCCTTCTAGCTCGCCATCCCTGCAAAGAAGCTCACTAAGGTCAGTCAAGATAAGGACCAACACTTTGTGGGTAAAATCAGTGGAGAAGGAGGAAGAGGGCTGGTTGGATTCTAGAAGCTTGCTGATCCTTTCTAGAATGAGCCTCTTGAAAGGCGCCCGAGCTTCAGTGTCAGAAAATAGCAAGGAGGCCCCCAGGCAGCAGGATCACAGGATGAATTACAGACCCAAAGACATTTATAGATAAAACACTCATTACTAGGTTGCTTAGGGCCATTGGCCACCTCAACCCCATTGGCCTTAGCAGAACAGAGAGCTCCGGAAAGGGCAGGGCGGAAGAAAGATCGGGGCCCCTCCCTTCCCACGAGGGTGGTCCCTCCTCTCTTCCTCTTCCTCTGCCAGCCGCCCAGGAGGACTCTGAACACAGATGCAACTTCCCTTTTGTGAGGCTGGGCTGGGGAGGTCCAGGTGTGTTTGCGGCCAGCAGAGGCTCCTCCCTTCGCACCTGAAGTGAGAAGCCTCAAGCTGTGACTGGCTGATGGCAGAGCCCTGCCTCCGAAGGGTAGTGGTTCTGTGAACCCCTCATGAGCCCTGGAAAGCACTGGGTGAAGCTCTGGGACTCTGGTTGGAGGGGACAATCAAGAGATCTCCAAACCACTTGGCCCAGGAAATGCTCGGGAGCTTGGAGATGCGTGAGGCTGTGGGGAGGACAGAGGGAGGGGCAGAGGTCAGCGTAGGGGTCCAGACGCTCAGACAGGGCAGGCTGACCCTTGATTGTTAGTCGTCAGCTCTGCCACGAGGCAATGGATCTGCCCTGTCCTGTAATCCAGGATCTCCAAGGCTGCTCTGCAATGTGTCAAGGGGAAAGTAAAGCAAAGAGGCTGGATCCTAAATGACACAGTAAGAGAGAGAAGGTTCCAGAAGCCTCCCTGGAGCATACCTGTAGGAGGAAGCGTGCCTGCCGGAGCTCCCTGAGGTCCCTGTAGCTGTGTCCCTGGCACGAGTAGTGGTCGGAGGACCTGTCTTTGCTGCACATGTTGAAAATGAATGGATCGCTGATGCTGGAGAGGAAACAGGCACACAGTGAGAGGCCATCTGGAGGGCTTGTTCCCTCTCCTGCCCCGCGACATCCCGGACCCCGTGTTTCTGGAGACACCACAGGGGGAGTGGTGCCATCACGACCAGCCAGGCTGCCAGCCCCGCTGACATGCTAAACCCTTTCGAGCTCCTGCCCATGTCGTTCCTGCCCTGGAACAGGGTGGGGCATCTGTGTCACCGGGTGAGGGGACAGACTCCAGGGCAGACACTGGCACAGGACGGAGGGGGTGAGTGTAAGGCTCTCTGGGTGCGGACAGATCGGTTTGTCACATGGGTCAGCAGGGTTTCTCCAGTCACTGGTCGGTGGGAGTGGCCGGGCATCTGCAGCACTGAGGGTGTGCACCTGTGCACAATGCAGAATGGTCCCTGAAGGGGGAAGAAAAGGCTGCTCCTGGGGGTTGTGGCCTGAGCCCGTTGCTTAGCCTCTCGCCCTCCAGGATGGAGACTCAGCCCTTTGCGGCTCCTCCTGCCCCTTCTTAGAACAAGCCTCTCAGATCTCTGCCTTGAGCCACATTGCTTTAGGACTGACCAAATACAAAGGTGGCTTCGGTCTGGATGCTTCTTCCTGGGTGCTTTAAACCAAGTCTTCTGCCTAAGGCTCTTTGTCCTTCCGTCAGGGGCTACACTGAAATTCCCCTGAATTTCACTGACTCCCCATGAGGCCATGATGATAATTCTGGCTCCCACTCCTGGCTTAGGTCAACCAGCATCTCAGGTCAAGACACTGGTGAGAATGAGTGAGGTTGCCTCTGTGCTCCCATAGCCCCACGCCTGCGGGAATCATAGCAATCATCTGTACCTTAGTCACACATTTGGTTGGTTCTTTTCCCATCAGACTATAAGTGAGTTCACTGGGGCGCAGACCTATGCCCATGGCTCTCCACCTCCCATCTTCCCCACAGCTCCGGGCATGTTTGCTGAGTGGACTGACAACCACCGTGCCCTACAGCCTGCCAAGCACATCCGGTCCGTTGTTTAATTTAAACCTCATAACAAACCCTTACGGAGCTTGTGCCATTAGTATTCTCATATCAGACATGAGGAAACTGCATTCCAAAGAGGAGAAGTGACTTTTCCAAGGCCACATGGAACCTGTTTGAAACCCGGGTCCTCTGACTCTAAAATCCAAGCTCATTCACCAATACCTTATCTCCTCTGAAGCCAAAAGGCTGGCTGGCATTTACAGAGCTCCCCCTGCAACCTCCCTCTTTGCAGCTCCCTCTGTGCTGACGGATCCTGTGACCCAGCTCTCTGAGACACTGATGACATGAGGAAGAATGTTTTGGAAAATGCTTTTAGGAAGGAGCTTTTAGGAGGAAATGCATTCATTTTTCTCCTACTTGTAGGGATTGAATAACCTTATATGGCAGGAATGCTCAGACAGACCCAAATGCTCAGGAAGGCAAAACTGTAAAAAACGTTACTGGGTTCACTGATGAGTCCAAATTGAAGTTCTGTGTTATGTAGCATTAGTCACACAGCTGTGACCGGGTCTCTTTGCCAACTCTGCATTGTCCCTGTTCTGTGTATTAAGGCAGAGTTCAGGCCCTTAAGGCCAATGGATAGAAAGGAGGAGCTGAGTCCTGTTCTTTAGGTGGAGCTGTGGCCCCAGTTTATAGATTGCTGTTCACCGTTCTTTTGCATGATATCTATCATGATATATGCAAGTTTGCCAGAGTGGTTATAGTATACTTTTTAATATGCTTAACTAGGGAAACCACAGTAAACTACGTGATAACTGTATTGGTTGACCTGGACTTTGATAGTAAAAGTGGATTTCAGACTAAAATATTTGAAGTTATTTCTGGACTAATCCAATTATTGTCAGAATTTATACCTGTAATTTATACCCAGAATCATTCACTAGATCACAAACTCTTTACCAGACTCAGCCCACGTCTGACTTATCTCTTTGTGTGTATGGGGTCTGCCCTAGTGCCTGGCACAATACGGATTTCCAGTATCTGTTGAGTTGAATTAAACAGAGGAAAGATACCTCAGAAATGTTGACTAATGTGGAGAAAATATCTGACTGTAAGCACCCTATCACAAAGAACCAGTTGGATGGCTTGGATTCCAACAAAATGAGTCAAATGTTATATACCTTGTGAGCTTGCTTGCCACTATTATGGGTAGAGTAGTGTTCTCTAAGAAGAATATGTTATGTGTTGAAATCCTAATGCCCAGTACCTCAGAATGTGACTTTTTTTTTTTTTTTTTTTTTTTTTAGAAATAGGCTGTTTACAGAGGCAATAAAGTTAAAATGAGGTTAAGATTGGCCCTAATCCAATATGGCTGGTGTCCTTAAATAAAAGGGGAATTTGGACACAGACACAGACACACAGACACACACAGACACAGACACACACACCGAGGGAAGATCCTGTGAAGACACACAGACAGAGGTGGCCATGTGACTGAAGTGATGTTCCTCCAAGCCAAGAAAAGCCAAGGGCTGCAGGGAAACACCAGAGGCTGAGGCATGGAACGATCCTCTCCAAGAGCTGTTGAGAGGCCATGGCCCTGCCGACACCTTGATTTGGGACTTCCAGCCTCCAGAACTGGGAGACAATAAATTTGTTTTTTTAAGCCACCCAATTTTTGGTATCTTGTTATATAGCTGTAGAAAACAAGTACAATCATTCTATTCAGGAAACGGTGATCTCACTGAAAGCAAAAGAAACCATCTAGAAAGGTCCTTACTCTCTGAGGAGAGCTCCAAAGTACCCAAGTGCAATCAATACTGGAGGATTTGCAGTGTTCCTGAGTTTTATTTGGGATATTTTTATGGTGCATCAGAGAGCCTCTTTCAAGGTCTAGTGCTCAACTATACTCAATTTGATGGCAGTCTTTTAGAGAAACATTTTAGGGTTGCGTTAGCTTTATTTTTAACTGGCTTATTTATGTATCTTCCTTAGTCTCTATGGTCAAAATAAGACTTAATCCCCATTGATCTGACATGATCTAATAGCCAGTCTCAGAGAACTGCATCTCCACGAGTGCCAGAAGTTTCTTAGGGCAGCTGACAAGACCTCAGAGAGAAAGCAGTGTCTGGTTAACAAATGCTTCTTTGAGGTCTGGTGACTAAAATTACCTAAGCAATTCCCACATGATAGTCCAGGGTAGTAATCTGTTCTCACTCCACTCCTCCTCGCATTCTAGAAAAGTACATTTCCAGACATGGGAAGTCTCCTTTGTCATTGCAAGTCAAGTGAGTACATACAACCCGACAACTGGGCTTCTATTAAAAGTGCAGATATAGTCAATTTGATCATGATTAGATGCACCTCATGAACACAATTTACCTAATCAATAAGATCTTATCTAACACTAACTCAATTTAAACCAGAGGTTGAGAGTGAAGCAATGGATTATGCAAGTCATTACACGAGCATGCCACGTATATAGGTAGAGTAGAAAGCTTTCATCGGCTCTCAGAAAGGCAAGTCTGCAGACCCATTGTCCATATTGATCAGTATCAATAAAACATGAGCAATAAGATGGGGTGCATGTGCCAAGTATTAATTATCCTCCTTCTTCCTTGGAAAGGCACAGAAGACTCGCAGCAATCGGTGAACGTTTGGTATGAATAAAAGATGGAAATTAGCAAAAAGAAAAATGCCAAGCATTTTAAAGCAAACCTAAATCAAAGGAGGGTGGGCTGACATCTCCTCTTCCACACTCCTTAAACTCTTGTTTCCTTCCATAGGCTGGAAATGATATGACGACCAGGAGCTAAAATTCTTCAGTTGTTGGCAGGGAAGGTTCTAGTTCTTCCGTCAATAGTCCAAGACAGTGGTTCTCAAAGTGTGGTCTCAGACCAATAACATCAACATCACCCAAGAACTCATTAGAATCTCAGGCCCTCCTGAAGATCTGCCAGACTGGAAATTGGGGGGCAGGTAGGTCCCCAGAAGTCTTTTAACTAGCCCTCAAGGTGACTTGATACTAGTTTAAGAGCTGCCGGGTCTAGAGGTTATCTTGTCATCATTTGAACCTTTGCTAACCAGAAAAGTCAAGAAATCGTCATATTTGTTCAAATGTGATGATCAAGTGGGTATCTTACCTGACAACTGAGCTCCTAGCCAAAGTGTGAACAGAGTCAATCTGACTTTGAATTGTTGTGCATTGTGAACACAAGGAGAGCTACCTGAACCCGAGTAAGACAAATACACTTGATTATAAAGAAGAACTTCTAAATTTCCTGCCAAAGTCCTCTGGTATTAGTTGATGTAAAAAAAAAAAAAAAGACTTTTCTAAGTTCTACCCAAATCCCAACCACCTTTCAAAACCCAGATCTCAGCCTACGTCCTCCAGAAGCCCTCCCTCACCACACTAGCCCCATGTCACCAAGTGTGACCCCAGAAGCCCCTCTCATCCTATGATGATGAGAGGAGCTCATTTTGTCCTGTGATATCAGTGTGCTCCGAACTCTTTCCAAAAGAACCCATTTGTGCTGCTGAGGGCACTTGTGTGCCTCACTCAGCACGGGAGGCACTGTCTGATGGTCTGCACAGAATGAGCAATCCACGAGCCATTGAATGAGCAAGCTGATGACACTGGATTCAATTGCCTAAATAACCTGAGGAGAGATGCCCCCTTGTCTTGAGGCATGCTCTGTATCATGAGAAGCATGAGGAGCAGCCCCATTGTTACCTACCCCAAATGTCAGCTTTGGGAAACCCCAGTCATGAACGTCTATGTCTTTAGTTCTTCTATTTTAGCTCATGACTCAGTTTCAGGCACAAATGTCAGCCCACAATGAGAACAGGTGGGAGGGGCGGGAGTAGGGGTGGCTGAGAAGGAAGTTAAGGCTCTGGGAAGGATCTGTGGGGGAAGGAGGGAACTCACTTGGATAAGCAGTGGCGGGTACAGTAGACGTCACCCACAGGGGAGAGTGTGAAGTTCTCGCAGATGTAGAAGTGCTGGTGGCCAAAAAGCAGGACACCTTCGGAGACCAGGTGGCCCTGCACGATCACCAGGGAGTACTTCTGTGTCACCTGGAGGGAAACAGCATCACAGTCAGTTCATGTGCACATGAAACATGCCCATCATGCTTATGGATGACCAGTCACCCACTGAGACACTGGAAGTCAGAGTAGCGCCCTGTAAAAGGGACAGAGCCGCTGCCCCAGAGCTGCCCTGCTCTTCACGGTTTATGTGGCACATCTAGACCCAATGACCTGTGTAGTTATCTCATTTACCCAAGGCCACCCCTACCCCCACCAAGGCACGTGGATGAGTATTTATTGCCGTTTTGGGCATATTGACAGTCTGCCTCTCACTTTACCCCCTCCACAACCACACAAAATACTCTGCGGTTAACGATGAGGAAGGTTTTCAAGTTACCAGCATCTCTCAGTTACAGAGGCAAAGGAGCTTGTCAGGGGGCCAGCTGGTAAGTGTCTGAGCCAGGAGCAGGACTGGTCTGCCTAGACCCACAAGTGTAAGACTGATACTGCTATCTCTGCAAGGCCAAGGCTAGTCTGAGGTGTGTGCAGAGGAGGCCCGTGCTCCACCCAATCCCTGCTTTCAGACTCAGGTTCATTCTCTTAGCAGCTGAAAAGGCTGGCAGCTTTCCAGAATCACCTCTGCTAAAGAGAGAGCCTGGCCGAAAGTCACACCCCATTCCCAGTGGCAGTCTGTACCCAACAACTGGTCACTGCAGGGCAGGAAGAGTCACCCTTTACCTCAATTCCAGTCAACTCTGAAGAATCATTCTAGAACTCAGGCTCCTAGGAAATCAGTGGAGGCCTATGCTGAGACTGCTTCAGAGTTGCCCTTCTCCCTCTGCCGGATCCTGTAATTATTACTCGCAGTGAAATTCCCACATGCACATCTCTGGCCCGTGGTTGGCTGCCCAGGGAGCCTGACCTGGGACAATGTCTTGGTGTGACCTAGAGTCCTACAGGATGTAAGGACTAAGTGGGTCCTCACATGGAATACATCCCTGAACAAGTGAGGAAATAAATGAATTCTAGATAACAGGAACCCAAATGGACCAAGAGTAAGGGCAAGGGCAATTCTATGCTAATTTCAGTTACACAAAAGAGGAACTGATTTTTTTTTAAACTACCTAACATACAACCATTGTAAAAATTTTACACATATTAACCAGTATAGTCCTTTCAATCAGGCAAGGGAGGTTTTACTACTGGGGAAAAAAAAAAAAAGATCCCAGAGATAAAAATCTCACCCAAGATTAGTCACAGAGTAAGTGGGTAGAGCCTGGGATTGGAGTTAAACTCCCTGCCCCCCGTTGGGACCAATAATGGGGCCGCAGTGATGAAACCTGAAAAGCAGGCCTTGGATACCAACTTGTGCATCAAATGGGAGCAGTCAAAGTCAGGACCAAGGCCAGAAAATGAAGATCGACCAAGGGTTTTTTGTTCCAAGTTAAGCATTACCCACTGCGATCAAGGGCAAGTCATCTCTGAACTATTTTTCCTAAGTGAGAACTAGCTGATTGCCCTGGTTCCTAACACCCAAGCCCCCTGCAGGCTGCTGGCTCTCCTGGCCTCGCCTGCATCCACCTTGTCAGGGGAGCTGGCCCTCAAACTGCCTGCAGAGCCACAGTTCACCATGGACCCGTTTCCAACTGTGTTCACTCATCCAGACGGTCATCTATTCAAAAGTCTGGACTCAAGCACCGACTACATGCCAGGCCCTGAGCTAGGCTTTGGGTATGGAGGCATGGCCAAGATAAACAAGAACCCTATCCTTATGGGGCTTAAAATCTAGGAGGATGATGGATAATAGGCAAGCACGTCAACCAATAAATTTCCACAAATTGTGCTACGTGCTGAGAGAGAAAAAATAGGTGATAACAACAAGGAAGAGAGAAGGTTGGAGGGACACTTTTTGACACAAACTCTGAGACTTGATTTATGGAAGTGGGGCAGCCATGGAAAACTCAGAACATTTCAGGGGAAAAGAACATCCAGTCCAGAGCCTAGAGGCAGTTGGGGCAGAATTGGGGAGCATAAAAGAGATCAGAATGGCTGAACTGAAGTCGAGAAGTAGGCATGCTTACATCTGGTGTGGGGTGGGGGGAGGCTTGGAAATCTTGGTAAGGCGATTGGGTTTTATTCTCATTGCAATAGGAAGCCATGGGAGGGGTCTTTTCTGAAAGAGGACACTGGCTGGGTGCAGAGTAGACCAGAAAGAGCCAACAGTAGGTGGTCAGTCATGTGGCCCTTTCTGTGGTCCTGGGGAAGAACGGTGGCTTGGGATAGAGTGGCAGAGCCAAGTGGAAAGGAGAGAAGTAGGGAAGCTAAGCAAGAAAAGGTAGAATCGACAAGAACTGCTACTCGACAGACTGGAAGATCAATAATAACAATAATTATAATAGGAAGGATTTAGGATGAATGTCTATTTTGGGATGCAGGCAATTGAGCGGAGCCTCCAGCTTCCCAGAAAGCCTTCCCCGGAGGCAGCCATCATCACCACTTTATTGTATAGATGGATCGTATGGATGGGTAGCCAATGCTCCACCCCAAAATATGTCACTTTGTCACGAGGCTTGTTTTGAGTCAAAGACACTGAAACAACAGCAGGTATAGGAAGGGCACTGTGGCCTACCCTTTTCTTCCTGAAAGCAGAGGATTAAACTCCCAGGTGAAAAATGTCCTCCCTATATTAGGAGGAAATGAATGCTCTTAGCACCAGAGACAGAGAGGTCAGATCTAGGGAACTCTGTACAAACAAACCTGGTTGGACAAACCCTTACCTCCCTTGAGCCTCCCTGTATGTTTTAGTTACTTTTTCAAAATTCCTATACTTTGTTCAACCTAAGCATTTAGGCCCGACCACTTTTTGGGGTGTGCCTTTCCTGTGAAGGCTCCCAGGTACCTGTGAAAGTAAAATCCGTTATTATCCTATTCCTCTGTCTTCTGTCACCTTAATTCTCAGGCCTACTTGGAGCCTCTAATGGGGTACGGGAAAGTCACACTCATTATATCCATACACTTATGAATGTATACGAAGCTATATACATGCCCATTTTTATTTTACCCAAATAGCATATTCAGATGCTTACTGTTCTGCATCTAGTTTTTTCCCTTCATGGCCACCTTGGAGACCCTTGCAAATCACTTCTTACACAGTTGTGTCTCTCTTATTAATAGGTATAGACTGTTTCCTTGCAAGGACGTACTAGAACTTATTTGACCAATCCCCTATGGAATCAGGTTGTTTTCTAACGTTTGGACACCACAAGCAATGCCGCGGTGACCATCCTTATACCCATGTCGCTCGGAACACTCAGGTAAATCTGAAGGATAAATTTCTAGAAGTTGGACAGCAGATCAAGGGGTATGGGTATCTTAAATCTCCTCTGTTGCCAGACCGCCCTCCTGTCAGACGAGATCGGGAGCGTTCAGGGTGGTATGGCCGTAGACCGGACTGCCCTCCTGAAAGAAGTTACCAATTTACACTCCAGCCCTGTCAGAAGGGTTACGTGAGCTTGTTTAACCTTTCTTCTCTTACCCTTTGTACAGAGGAGAAGTCATCCTGAAGTTCACACAGTGAGACGGAGCCCTGGTCTGTGCACCTTCAAACCTCTCCCCTCCCCATGAAGCCCCACCCTAACCCAACTTCTTTGGTGCCAGTGTGGCAGGGACTAGAGCACATTCCCATGATCGCCTGGGGTTTTCTTTGGGGGGAAATTAAATAACAACCAGAATAAACCAAACCACAAGAAAAATGTCTGGTGAGAGCTGGGTTAATAGCTTAAAAATTGATTCTGCTAGATAAGAATGTCATTTAAAAAATTAAAAAATGAACCCAAGTGAACTATTACCTGCTCTTCCATTTAAATCAGCCCTAGAAGGCTTGCCTTCCCAAGTTTACTCATGATTAAGAAATCCCTCATGCTGTGATTTTGTTGATCACTCTAAAAAGAGAGAAACTTCAGCTTCAGAAGTAGAACTTTTTTTTTAAGGTCAGCTGGATAATATATTATCAGTCCTGATAGGTGGATAGCTAAGTATGTGGCCACACCTGGCCCTGTGTATGATGAGGAACAGATTGTCTGGAAATCCAAAAATCCCAGAGTTGAAGTTACAGAGGCAATAATTGACTGGGACGTTCCGCCGAAGCCGCCGCCAGCACATTCTCCTAGAGTTGGGCCTCAGTGTGCACATCTGCAAAAAGGGAAGGTCAGTTGGAGGCTCTTTGAAGATCTTTCCTGCATTATTGGTCTGCAAGTTAGTGCAATGCCCGAACTTGATGGGTAGAAAAACAGATACAGTGCCATCCTATAAGGCACCCAGAACAGAGCAGATGTGTACATTTCCTTATATTTGTGTACAAAGTCTACTGCAAGTAAAGTTCTAACCCTGCGTACACGGGTCATGTGTCCCTTTTGTACATCTTCTGCTTGCCTAGACCCTGCTGTCAATATATCCTGTTATGCTGGCATATACAATAAAGATCCCCATTTTTCACAAAAAAAGCACCAATTACTATGAAAAAGTTAAGTATTAAATGGAGAGAGACTCTATAAATTACATTTATGTTGGCTACCTGTGAACCCTGGCATCTTGATCGCTTTTCAATGGCGTATTGGGTCACACTAGCAATAAAAAAAAGTATCTTAAAACAATAAAGAGATACTATTTTTATATGAGTTTGGCAAACCTGAGGAGAAATATAATGCTTCATAGCAGCGCCTCCTTTCAGGTGGAGACAAGGAGCGGGGACGCCCCCTGTCTGCCTGCAGGTGCCACTTCCCCAGGCAAGCCAGCAAAGAGCTGAGTCTCCCTACCTTTCAAGGCCACCTCCCAGAAGATCAGATGGTAAGGATGGAAAGTGCCCCAGCATAATGTGCAACATATTGAGGACTATTCAAAGTATGCATGTGCGCAGGATTTACTCATTGGTGATTGATTGAAACTGGAGCGCATTTCTAGCCTGGGCAGCTCTGAATGCTGTAAAACCTGGACGTGTGGATCTCAGGCATTTATTCAGAGAGGATGCCTGAGAATCACCTGGGCAGCTT